CGATGCTATATACCAATTTGGTAATAGAAAAGTACGAAAAAGAATTTTCTAATTTTATCGTTGCTTTGTATGTGTGTGTATGTGATCTTTTTCTTTTTTTTATTATCCTTTTTTTTTCTTTTCAAACGAGAAGTTGAGAAGAGGGTTTAGATTCAGGTTGGCATTCTCAAAGGGTTGTTATCCACTTGAACGCTTTCACGCGAACTCTTAGATGACTTATCTTCAAGATATCGAAGTTTTATGATCGAAATTTTATCTAGTACACATCTATCACGTGTTTCTTATTTACTTTATTTTGTTTCTCTCTATTTCTTACTCAATCATTTTTGATTTCGCCATATTCTATTAATATTATATATTTTTATTTTGTTCAGTTTTCAAACGTCTCTGTTAAATGATTAATTCATTTCTATTTTTGTCTATTATTATTTTTCATCTTTCCTACGTTTTATCATTAAAATTATTTGAATTAATTTTGTTATTGTATTATCAATCATTTTATTTTTATATTGAAATCATGATCACTGATGTGTTTAGAAATTTTAATGAGAAACACGTCGTTATGAATATTAGGACGAAAGGATAACGACTATGAAGAAGAATGAAAAAGAAAATCGAGTGTGTACGCGTGATTGATTGATTGATTGATTGATTGATTGTTTGATTGATTGATTGATTGGTTGGCTTCGTTTTTACGATTGACCATAAAGTTTCTATCTCTCTTTGAAAAGATTTGTTTTTTTTTTCTTCTTTTCGTTTTCGAATTTCTTCATATATGAAATGTATTCTATATCCATTTTTTGTTCTTTTAAATTGAGAAGAACTATAAGTACTCTAAAAAGGAATAATAAAGTTTTGAAATTTTTGAAAAAGAACAGAATGCCTCAAGAAAGCATTCGTTGGCAAGGAACTCAGAGGAGAGCATGTGGCCCAGGGGCGCAATGGAACGTTCAGGTTTGTTTCATATTCTTACATTTATATTCTCATTTTATTACAATTATTATATATAAATATAGTTAATTATATTAAAAGCGTTTCTTTTGTCAATGGAAATACAGTAAACTTTCAATTTAAGTCACGTTTTCAATAATTATCATCTTTTTATAAAACAATCGAAGAGAAATTAATGGCGGCCGATCATTTGAAACATATGTAACCTAACCTTCAAATTCAAATCTAAAAATTGGATCAAATAGACAAACGCGTATTTTACAATTATTAATTATTTCATTTATTATTATACCGATATACTTTAATTATTATTAATTTTTAATCTGTCGTTGTGTTGCAATTAAAAACAAAGAAAAAATTTGATTGGATTAATAAGTACATGTATATTTTATCGCCATTGGTTTACAAATTATTAGCCCCGCCCCTTTGGGTTCCATCTTGAAAACGTATAATTACATTGACATTTTACTGTATAATTAAATATTAAACTATTTTGTGTTTATTTTTTTTTTTTATTTTAAATATCTTTAAAAATATCAACGTATAAATAATAATAGAAAAAATATATTCTAACTTTTTTTATCCTATAAGTTTCTTATCTTCTTCTTCTTTTTTTTTATTTGTTCCTCGGATTCGTTCGATTCAATTTCCTCGTGCGGTTCTCTTTCTTTCTCTCTCTCTCTCTCTTCAAACATTTTCTCTTTCCGTCATTTCCGTGTATGATGCGGAACGAATGTAATATCTCATTCAGTTATTCTAACGACAAAGGACGTTACAAAGCTAGCACATATTTGTTTAGGCACACGTGACATAGCATAAAGAGAGAAAAAGAGAGAGAGAGAGAGAGAGAGAGAGAGAGATAGACATGTGTCGTACGTTTGTGAACAAATTTAAATGGAATGGAGAATACGTGATATATCGCATAATACATATTCTCATTTCTACCTTTTGAAATTCACTCGTTTCGATTATTTCGACTTTTAATCGTTCTCTGACGCGTTACTTCTAATACCTTTCCACCCCCCCCCCCCTCCTCCTACTCCCAACCCTCTACCGCCCACCACTTCGTTCTTTTTTTTTTCTTTTCTTCCATCTTTCTTCTTACCATTTGTTTCTTCTTTTTAATCTTTTCTTTTCTATGCATATTTAATCCTACGTATTGTAGTTCGATGGAACGTAAAAAAGGAATTAAATTTCATTTGAATCCTTGTATATCTCGTGTATTGTGTTCTACTTTTTTTTTCGGATTTCGTATCGTTCAAGTTTTCGACGGATCCACAAAATGATAAGTAGTCATACTTTTTTTAGAATCCGATCGTAAGAATTTCATTCGTTTTAGTTTATATTTCATACGGTGGTAAGGGGCGGGAGGGGGAGGTGGTGTAAGGAATACAATTAGATTCTATAAGAATTCAAGGAGGGTCTGGTCGAAATGAAATTTCTTTTTTTAACAACGATTGACGCGTTGAGAATCTGATCTGATCCAAACACAGCAGCAGCAACAGCAGGTTTAGCAGATTTTGAGAATAAATGTTTTAGGAAATTGTATAAGATTGGTAGGATGGGTTTAATAAGAAATGAATTTGAACCAAAAAAAAAATGGTATTAATTTAATTAGAAAATATATCGAATATATATTCAGTATTTTCTCTCGTCCAAAATTATAATTCTTGATGGTAAAGGTTCATAGGGAACTTGGACATGAAAAGAAGTAGAACTTAATTTAATTAAGTTGGACGTTTCGTCCCTTTATTGGGAATTCTTCAGCAACTTAATCATTAAAGCTCAGCGTCTTTTTTTATTTATTTCGACATACATTTCTCTTTATAATATTCCAAACACAATACATCTAAACTTCGTTAATTTGATCGTTATTATTCAAAAACCTCAAGAAAACTAATAATAATAATAAAATATTTATTGAATTATTTNTAATTATATAAAATATTATTATATATATATAATCAGGTTTTTATTGCACAACTTACAAAGTTTTTTACAATGTCTTATCATTATATCACATATAATTATCTCCCATTTTTGGCTTGCTCTTAACACACCTCTCGTCTACCTCTAATTATCACCACTCTTAAAATTATACTATCCAATATTATTATAAAATATATATTTTGTTAGATAAACGATAATATATGTGATTAAATCCATTTAAATTTGAAACGTTTCAAATTGTTCGTATCATTATTTTCACTTTTAACTTGCCATACTATTTTCGTATTATTAAACAAAGTTTTTGCGATATGAAAACTTTACGTTCTTGTAAATTTACATTTCGCATCAACAAAAAATACTCATTCCGAAGTATCAAGTATCTAAATTCTAATTCTAATTTACGATTGCGTTGCGTCGTATCATTGAGGAAAAATATGTTAACCATCAAGTTCTCTTGCTAAAGATAAAGATAAGGAAAGAGAGAGAGAGAGAGAGAGAAAAAGCTATTTGTTGATCTTCTATTTTAGTGGCTTGAAATAGCATTGGAAAGTGGAAATTGAATTTCCGAGCATGATCAGACTTCTCGTCTCTTCTCTTTTGCACTTGGTTTGATCAATGAATCCTTAATGAATGAGATTACCTCGAATAGGTGGTCAGAGGGAAGGTGACAACGCGATGTTTGTGGCATGCTTGCAAAGCTCTTGGTATCGGACTTCTCTTAATGCTTTTGGGAGCTTGCATGGCGACTATAGGTGAGTTTGAAAAAGGAAAATAATGTCGTAACCAATCAGGTGATCGATCAATTTTCTAACCAAACTTTTCTATCATTTTATTAACGATAATATCACACATTTACGTTGCTTACCAGTTCAAAAGTTTTCTTATATTGAACAGTTTACGTGTAAACATAATTATTTAATAATTTCAATAATTTTTATATATTTAATATTTTATATAATTAATATTTAATATAATTTAAATAATTTAAATATTAAATATATAAAAATTTATGTTATTTATTTATGGTTAGGAATCGTGATAACGAAATTAATCGATAAGACACCAATAATATTACTCGTTTATAATACGTTGGTTAAATACAAACAAATTGTTCTAATATTAAATATTATATTTATCATTTTTTCTATGTGAAGATTAAACTTATTTTCTTTATTTTCTTTTTCTTTTTTTTTTTTTCTATGTCCATTAAACAGGTTATTACGCGGATCAATTGTCGGTGGCGCAAGAGATAAGAGGTAATTTGACGATTAAAGTGAAAAATGAATCACGAGAGTTTCATTTGAACAACCTCAGTTACGCCGGGCCGATAGTCATGGGTGTAGGAGGTAATTTTACTAATAGTATAATTATATATAAATAAACGATTATTAAATATGTTTAACACGTATATGTGCACAGGTGTTCGTGATAATTTCACATTGATATTATATTAGTAGATAATATTTGAATATACATTTAACATACATTTACAAATACATGTTTATCGTTTGTTTTATCTTTTCTTGTATATATCATCGTTTAAATGCACCGATACCATTTTCTTCCTTTTATTTGTTCATATTAATAATATCAATTTTATTATGTTAATATTTTTAACATAAATTTTTCGAATATTCAAAATAATAATCGAATATATTTCATTGGAAATGATTTATTTTTTAATCTCTCTCTCTCTTACGTATCGATAAAGAAAACTCGGATATAAAAATTTATAAATGTTATTATTATTATTATTTATGAAAAAAAAACATAATTTGTATTTTAATTATTACGCGATATATTTATATTATTGTTTTGTAAGAAAAAACGAAAAAAAAAATGAAAAAAAATAATTGCCCCCAGAGAGATTTGAACTCTCGACCCCTGGTTTACAAGACCAGTGCTCTAACCCCTGAGCTATGGAGGCTTGTGAAAGGAACCTAGCAATAATTCTACCAGAGTCCCCTTAGTCACCAGTCATTTTTCAATTATAACATTTTTGTATTATCACATTTGCTATTAATTATAATATATTTATTTTTAATTAAACATTTTATTAAACAAATTACGTGGATACCTTTAATAGTCGTCATTGTAATGGAGTCTTACAATTAAATTAGATACTTTTTATATAAGAAATAATGTGTGTGTGTGTGTGTGTTTAAACAAAAACAAAAGAAAAACTTATTTAGAATATAACAGATATTATATAAATCCTTTATCGTTTTTAGGATTTATCGTTGTGGCAGTATGCGTGATGACCTTCGAGGCACGCGATAGCGCAGCCAAAGTGGTACCGGCACGTTTTAGATTCAATCAAAGTACGTTGAAAGGTGTTAAAACTCAACGAAATCGTAGATCAACGTCTTGCCAAACTACTAACAATAAATGGGATCATCAATATGGCCTCTTCAGGATAAATCGTAGCTTGAGCCCGAGCGCTCAGGAAATATCTCGAAGACAATTGAAGGCCGAATTGGTTAGATTTTCACGTGAATTACAAGAGAAAAGTGTATCCCATACGATCAAAAAAAGTCCCAGTGCTCCGATTTTGATAGATAAGAAATCACCACGTAGGGAGGCTCCTCAGTATTCCGGTTGTGCGCTTTTAAATCCACAATTATTGCAGAGACATGCATTGTCCGTTGATAATCCAGCTTACAGTCCACCTCAAGTAAGTAAAATCGATTAAATATACATTATGATATAAAATTGTTAAGTCATTTGTTTAACGGGATCAACATTAATCTTATCTTGCTCAACATTAAGTATTATTTATTTTGATATCGTACTTTTTTGCGTTACATTGATAAATTTATGACGTAACTTAGGATGTCAGATTTATCTGTTCATTTAATATCCACTTATTAACGTTAAAAGATATTTAACGCCATTTGCATTAAAAAATAACGTAAATTTCGATCTATCGTATCCATTTTGAAACAGGTCAGTCGGGAAAGTTTGGAATATCCAAAATTAACTGGTAGTCAAGCTTCCATGGCAATGGATCTTCATATACCTAATAAAGGACCGGTTACGTTAAGGGTCAGAGATCGATCTGATACAGCGAGACGCCATCAGTTGCTTCGGCAAACAAAAATCGAAGATGTTGAGGAAATCATGGAATCAAAAAGGCCAACTTCTGGGTATATATATTCACCTAGATTATCAGGTTAGTGTTTGTTATGTTGTATATTTGTTCCAAATCATATTTAGCTATCTTCAATATCCTCAAATATTAATTTTCAAAGAGATTGAATCGATTTTTAATAAAACTGTCCGCCATTTTTCGATCGCCATTTTTCGTCTGCCATTTTGGTTTCTTACAAAATCCTCCAATAACAATATTCTCAAAAATTAAACTACATAGTCGTATGAATTTCGTAACCGATAATAGTAAAAACGTTGATAAAATATGAATATTGTAGTTTGATGTTTAATGAAAATTAATATTTGGGTTTTTTTTGGGAGGTTATTATTTCATTGAAAAACAAAATGGCTGACTTATTACTAGACGAAAATTTTATATATTAATACTTAAAAATCGGTTAAATATTAACTTCACTATGCACGTTATTTTCTATTTTAAAAGTAAACTACGCTTAAACGAATATGTTGTAGGTGTATACAACAAGTATCCTGCCGAGTACGTAATTGGAAAAAGGAATTCAGTGGACGTAAGATATCTGGACGATCTCAATATCCTTTCGAGAGATACATCTAAAGTATCACCGCGAGATTTTCGAAAATCATCGTCACCGAATTTTCGTAAAATGTCGTTGGACAGAATAGGTGGTGAACATAGGTTGGACAAATCGATGGGCCATCGTAAGGCCAGTTTGGAATTTAGAAAAAGTCCGGATTTCCGTCGAGGTGATTACAGGTGAGTTTGATTTACAGGTAACCCTCCTACAACACGAAATCCTATAACATGATAAAAAAATTGCGAAAATCTAGATACAACATTGTATTCCTACAACACTGAATAACGCAATGATTGCTTAACATACTTAAAAACTAAATTACTTGAAAATAATGAACTTTTTGAGTCTCAAACAATACAGTTTCACTCAACACAGTATTTTCTAGGAACTTATCAACCATGTTATAGGAGGATTACTTCTATTACACAAACATACTTATAAATCTTAATATATTACATTTGTATTTTATAAATATACTGTTTAGAAAACTATCGGTGGACAGATTCAGCGTGGATTATACTAGATGCGTAATGGACGAGGTTGAATTTAGATCAAAAGCAAACAGCGGGGAAAGTCTCAAGAGACAACAACGTTATCCTAAACTTCATCATTCACGATCTGACGACAACAGAAGACGTTCCTTTGATAAAAGTCAAAGGGAGTCTCAATCGAGCAGATATTCGTTGAACACTCAAGGTCCTACTGACAGTGCTGATTACGATTTAAGATATTTCATATCAACTTCATTGAGCACCGAGGAAAGTCGTACGGAAAATCCCGATGACAGTCACGGTTTTGACATTGACGAATCTTTGACCATTCCTTCACCGTTAGAAGGACAAGCTGAAACTGATACGCTATTGGAAGAACCCGAATTAGAAAATTTAACGGAAAACGATACGGAAAATAACGTTGATTGTTTTCATCGTTGCGAAAATATCAAAAATGTTGATGACGATTCGAGAAAGGTTGATGATATGATGTTGCAAGATTGGGAAAATGTTTTGAAGGAATCGGAAAGAAAGAGGGAAACTATTTTGTGCATAGAGGACGACGAAGTTTGAAATCTGTTACTTTATTATTATTATTATTATATATTACTTCTTTAAACGGGTTTCTTTTTTTCTTTTTTTTTAATTAAAGAAATAAGAAGACTTCAGAATGAATTTTCGCGAATCGATTATGTCTTCTAGTCGAGTTTAACTAGTCCCACTTTTTTGATCATTGAAATTTCACATGGTACAAACGATGAATATATTTTAAGCTGTATATAGTTATAACATATATATATATATATATATTTGTGTAATTTCAATAAGTGCGTTTTAAAGGAACAATACGTTGAATATAAGTATAAAAGAGAGAGAGAGAGAGAGAAAGCAGAAGAAAATTGAAATTATCATTTACAATTAGATGGTTGATTCATTAAGCGAGCCCAATTTAGGCTGATTGTGAGATTGAATCATTTTGTGGACCATTGTGATTTTAAATAGAGAATACAATTCTGTGATCTGTAACGCGTAGCAATGGTGTCAAACGATGATTAATAATGGTGAATCGTGACAAAAGAACGAGCTTTTTAAATTAAACTAAACAAACATTTTACAAAGTTTTAATACAACCCTACAGCGCGTTGATACGGCCTTCGAATTAATTATTATATCTCATCGATGTTTCAAAATGTTCAATATTTATTGTGTAGATAAATTGTTGTTGTATAGGAAAGAAACAAAAAGAAAAAAACAAAAAAAATAAGAGAAAGAAAGAAGGAGTAAACAGTAATGGCGGATTAACCCTTTGTTCTATCAATGAATTTCCGATTGTTTGGGTCATAATAATCAAAAAACTACTATCATCAATATTAGATTGTCTTTTTTTATTGACATGATTAATTCATTTAAGGAATTATAAAAAGAAAAAAAGAAAAAAGTTACACGTAATTGAAATAAGAAAATATCGAGAACAATTGAATCACGAGTCTGACTCGTGTTGATTACTTTTGGTCCGAAGTACCACGAATCAGGTTCGAGTTTCACTTATTGTAGGACAAGGGGTTAAGTGGTACCAGGATTAAGGCCTTGGAATATCGAAAAGGGTCCCCAAAAGGACCCCGAAATATTAAAATTAATTTACGTTTCTTTTTTTACTAATAATATTAATTAACTTATTAAGGTATGAAATTTTTCATTAGAATAACTCAATGATTATTTTTTTGTTTTAACTTTATTTTGTCGATTCCGAAATTCTGATTCCAATTGTTTCGTGTCCCCCCCCCCTTCCCCCAATTATTTCGAAAATAAACAAACGGGCCGTGCAAAGTTTTACATCTTGGTTCAAACTCATTAGAGTTTGTTTTACTTTTTATATTATAATCCCGATCGAATATATAAATTATTAATTATATATTAACAATTGTTTCAATGTCACGAATGATCGAAGAAAAACCTAACCTATAAAACGGACAATAAAATACGCCCGAGTGTAATCATCACGTGACATTTAAAAAATTTTCTTTGGAGTCTAAATAGGTCGGCCATTTTTATTTACTCCCATCATCGAACATTATTTGACTATGTTCAATATTTTCAGTTATGTATTATTATAAGAAAAATAATAATAATAATAAGAAAAGAAAAAAGATCGTACGTAAACGATTGTTTTTGTTGTTTGTTTTTTATTTTTCAAGTAAAACGTATTTTATTATTGAAAGTGTGTGAAACAATGATAAAGCGTCAATACAATCAACTAAAATACTTGTAATGCTAGCGTGTAAATGATAAGCCATTGTGTTAATTCGAATTTCGAAGAAAATAAGACTAATTGGGTGACATCAAATGTCTCCTCATAGGTATCTTATATATATATATATCTAAAATTTAATGATTGTGTTAAAAATAAAGGTTAAAATTGCGATTTCGTAAAAAAAAAAAAAAAAAAAAAACATGATTTGTTCAGTTTGAAAATTGAAGAATATTATTATTAATTATCAATATTCTTGTCCAAAAAATATATTAATATATAAGTTTCAAAGGGAATTATAGACGGTTAATAAATCTGATGAACAATTTATTTTGAACTATTATTATTACTAAGTTTAATTCTTAGGGATGTTATTTTTTGGACAGATTTAAATTAGATTAACAATATATTTATCCGTTGAACAGTGTTCGAAAAGTTATGGTAGGATAACGTTTTTAAAAATTGACTCTATATATAAGATAGTGAAAACTTATGACTGTAATGAAAAATGATGTTACATTGACTTATGAACATAACTATCAAGTTGCTGAGGAAGTCCCAAATATTGGGACGAAACGTTCAACGGATAAATATATTGTTCATCTAATTTAAACCTGTCCAAAAAATAACATCCCTAAGAATTAACCCTTTGCACTCGAGACTGTTTTCGCGCGGACTATCCAGCAATTCAAATCGTTTCGTAGCGTCCTTGGTAAATATATTTTTTCTAACATAAAATAGTAGCAGATATTAATTAACGCATTAAACTTTTATATTTTGATATTCGATGTATCATTACACCTCTTTAAATAATTATAACTGCGCATCAAATTTCTTCACCATACAGAGTGGTGAGCGAGAGTCACCTCTCGAGTGCAAAGGGCCAAACTTAGTAATAATATTAAAAAAAAAAAATAATTTTGGATAAGAAACAAATTTATTATATTAATATTATTATTATTCCTATCAAAGGAAGGAAGGAAGGAAGGAAGAAAGGAAATTTCTGTAACCAGCCCACTCACCCCCAACTCCCACCCCTTTCTTCAAGTATCAACCTTGACATTCCTACGGTCCTAAATCTTAATTTATATTATTCTAACGGAGTAACGAAAATTGAAACGAATTTGTTCTCTAATGAATTTTTTTTCTTCTTCTTTTTCTTCTTCTTTTTTTTTTTTTTTCCATTAGTTCGACATTGACGGATACATTTCGTAAGTATTTTTCTCACGATTTTGGGGGTAGCTTAAGATGCCGAGAAATGTTTAATAGGTTTATTAGTAATATAAGATTCTCATAAAGGACAGATACAAGTTGAAGCTGAAGATTTAACGATCGTAACTGACTGCTTAAAAAGATCAATGAATATGGAGGAATGGGGGTGGTAGTGGTAAGGGTAGTTATGGATTGTGGTGGTATGACGAAAGATGCAATTAGATTTATGTTTGAGTATGGTAAAGTAAGAAAAAGTTAAGTAAATGACAATAAATATATTTGAACGATATCTATATATTATTATAAATATATAAGAATTTATGTTTATGGGATAATATTAATGTAAATTGATTACAAAAAATAATATGTTAATTGTTTTTTTTCTTAAATTAATTTTTTTAAGTTTCAAAAATCAAATGACATTAATGGAATAATCAAAAATTGATCATTTTCAAGATTTATATTGGTTTTGGTTAATAATATATACATAATAATAATTAAAACTGCAAACGCGTTTATATATTTCAAAATTATATTTAACAAATTGGCAAGTAAATATAATTACAATCATTTTTACATTAATTAATCTAAAATTTGTGTACAATATATTTTGGAAAATTAAATTTTCATAATAAATATGTAGGATCTTTATTTTTTGTAAATTAAATTTCTTTTTCATTTATTAAATCAATCGATTTTATTTCCAATTTTTAACGAAATGAGATAAATATGTTCGATCATGCGTTTTCTAATATAATTCATTAAAAATTAAATCTATTACTAAAATGTATATTAAAAACTACATCCATTTTTTGTTAATTACGATTATGCTTTATTGAAAAATAATAAGACATAAGTGAAAAAAGAAAACAAAAATAGAAAAGTTTATTCGATAACAGTAAAAATGTGGTACGTATACGTCCCACGTGGCCTGAACGAAAAGTCTTACAAAAAAAATACGTTACGTGGTGAACATTGGGGAACGTGTTAATAAGAAAAATGATTATTTTTTCTACTGTTTTTTTTTTTTTTTTTTAAATACTCAATAAAGAGATATTACAATAATTCGGTAAAAAGGAAATAAAATATTTAATTCCAATACATTGTTCTTTTTTTTTGTTTTTGTTTTTTTTTCTTCAACGATTTACATAGGCGATGTTATTCCTTTAAGAAAGTTATAAATCTAATTAGTTGCAACATAGAGATCAAAAGGTTAGATTTTATTTTTATTATTTTTTCATAATTGGATAACGATAATAGCATTTGACAAGTGACAGGAGAGAAGATTTACATTGAATCGTTTTAATAGTAGTAGCTTCGTTGATTGAGGTTAGCGTCGTCTTCCAAAGCGTAAAAAAACATGATCAACGTCTTGTCTTTTAACACCGCTCCCTGGCAACGGGTTGTTTTCTTGAAGTACTGAAACTTTATTTTCTGTGTCAATTATGTAATATTAACTTTGATCTTATTTAATTATTAAGGGGTTGTTACATGGGTTTACACCCGGGAAAAAATAGCATATTTTCAACAATTTTTTTTTCTATATAAAAAGTGGAATTCTTATTCAAACTTTTTATAGTATTTAAGATACATATTTAAAGAAGATTTTCTGAATTTTTGCTTGAAAAATATTATAAACTCAGCCATTGCGACGTCATTTCCGGTGACCCCACCGAAAAAAAGTGTTTTCGCGTTGACAGCAGAACTTATAAACGGTGGGGGTTTTTTTGTTGAAAAAA